ACTCTCAAGAGTCTCCTCCAGCACCACAATTCAAAGGCATCAATTCTTCGGCGGTCAGCTTTCTTTAAGGTCCAGCTCTCACTTCCACACATCACTACTGGAAAAACCATAGCTTTGACTATGTGGACCTTTGTCAGCAAGGGGATATCTCTGCTTTTTAAGATGCTGTTTAGGTTTCTCATCACTTTCTTCCCAAGAAGCAGGCGTCTTTTAATTTCGTGGCTGCTGTCTCCATCTGCATTGATCCTGGAGCCCAAGAAAGTAAAATCTGTCACTGCCTCCATATCTTCCCCTTCTATGTGCCAGGAGGTGATGGGACCAGTGGCCATGATCTTAGTTGTTTTTTTTTTTTTTTTTGATGTTCAGCTTCAGACTGCTTTTTGCACTCTCCTCTTTCACCCTCTTTACAAGATTCCTTCATTCCTCCTCACTTTCTGCCATCAGAGTGGTATTATCTGCATTACTTCTATTTACCAACTTTAAAAAAAAATCTCAGCTTATTTAACCCCTCTGAAGTGCCAAATCAGTATTTCGGAGTTCGGAGAGCCCTGCTTTGATTTCAGTGCTGCTTTGGGTACCTTGGGTTCACTCCTTATCACTTCGGAAAGGGGAGACTATTCCCATTTCTCTTTCAGAAATGAACCTGAAGGACATACTTGTAGATGGGAAGAGCTACACGTCTCCTTATCATCATCACGAAATAGCACATTCAGGCAGATGCCCAGTTTCGTGAAGCTGGGCAGCTATTCCTTTGTGCTTCTTGGTTCTTAAGAAGCTGCTTGACCCTTTCACAAGCGCCTGGGGTCTTTTCCTGCTTGTCTTGTGTGTAACTCTAAGGAGAGACAGTCGTGGCTAGGTTGTCCCACTGCAATTGGACATGGCGTTGAGAGCCTGCTGGTCACCACAGGGGCTGCTTCAGAAGAGCTGAGAAAGAGTCTCCAAACTGTAGTTCTGGAGATTCCCCAAACTCTCTGCTCCCCTTGTGGCACATTGGCAGCCTTCTGCTTAGCCGTCCTGCAAATTCAGCATCCCGGGAGGGAACTCCAAAGGGTGGTTGCAAGAGAGGGAGGCTGTTTCTCTTCCATCCTTCCTTCTGACGGTGACTGGATGTTTCTACAAAACTTCCTTGTCTCCTTTCTTCATGTCATGGACGATTTGATATCCCTGTTTTGTCATGGTCAAAAGTAGAAGACACTCAAGAAAAACCCTCAGAGCGCTACAGAACTTTATAACACCTCTTAGTTGTTTGAGCTGTCTGGATAGCTCAGTGGTTTAGGTATCTGACTGCAGAGCCAGAGGCTGGGGGTTCAATTCCAACACACACACACACACCCCGCTGGACCTTCCTCCAAGTAAACCCACCTCGTGTGGCCTTGGGCAAGCTGCGTAGACCCAGGATGCCTCCAGAAGAAGGGAAGGAAAAGCCTGAATAGAGCTGCCTTAAGTCACGATTTATTTCATGACACGTGGTTATTAAATAGTAGTTGGAGTCTGTTGTGGTCTGTAGCACCAGAACATTTATCCCTGATAGGGTTGAATACCAGTGGGAACCAGACAATCATGGCCATCATATCAAAATT